TTCCTGATAATGAAACCAAAGTAGGGTATGAAGATAAATTAGAGGAACAATCTAGATTCCTTCAAGCTAGACCTTGTATGAAATTTGAACCCTTGGATTTCAATGAATTTATTCCCCTAAAATCATCATTACAACATGCACCCATATTGGAACTTAAAACTTTGCCTTCACATTTGAAATTGCTTATCTAGTTAGTAATGAGACTTTACCGGGGATAATTTCTGCTAGTCTAACCTCTGAACAAGAGAACAATTTGTAAAATGTTTTATCACAGCATAAAAAAGCTCTCGGGTGGATCATGGTAGATTTGAAGGGAATCAACCCTACAATATGCATGCACAAGATAAACTTAGAAGATAATCATAGCAATTCTGTGGAACCACAAAGAAGACTAAACCCGATCATAAAGAAAGTGGTGATGAAGGAAATCATAAAATGGTTGGATGTTGGAGTAATTTATCCAATATCCGATAGCTCATGGGTTAGTCTGGTGCAGTGCATGCCAAAAAAGGGCGGCTGACCGTGGTTAAGAATGAAAATGATGAGCTTTTAACTACTAGAATAGTCACGGGCTGGCGCATATGTATGGATTATAGGAAGCTCAATAGAACAACAAAGAAAGATCACTTTCCCTCCCTTTTATTGATCAAATGCTCGATAGGTTAGCAGGAAAAGCATTTTATTGCTTCCTTGACAGATATTCTGGATACAATCAGATAGCCATAGCACCGGAGGATCAAGAGAAGACTACTTTCATATGCCCGTATGGTACCTATGCATTTAGGAGAATGTCATTTAGACTATGTAACGCTCCAGCAACCTTTTAGAGGTGTATGATGGCCATTTTTTTAGAAATGGTGCAAGATTGCATGGAAATATTTACGGACGACTTCTCCGTCTCGGGTGATGATTTCAACCGATGCCTCGACAACTTATCTAAAGTGCTGAAGCGATGCGAAAAATCCAATCTGGTGCTAAATTGGGAAATATGTAATTTTATGGTAACCAAAGGAATTGTGTTAGGACACAAGATTTCTAGCCAAGGCATTGAAGTAGGCATAGCCATAGTGGAAGTAATCGAGAATCTACCTTTACCTACCAATGTAAAGGGCATACGCAATTTCCTTGGACATGTAAGATTTTATAGGCTTAAATACAAATAATAAAAGTTAAGCCCTGAACCAAAGTGCCAAAGAAGTGAAAGCCCAAAGCATAGCAACCCAACAACAACTTCCCCAAAATATAGTCCAAGCTTAGAAGCCTGAAACCCATTAGGTTTTCCGTTGAGGGTTCCACCGCCACACAAGTAGATCCATTAAATTTGGTGTTCATCCAAAGGTTTAGGATTGATGGTACAAAACTTAGGGTTTTCTAAACCCTAAAGATACATACACAATTGATTCTCAGCCATTGGATATGGTTCCAAGATCGAAAGGCTTGCATCACTCCGAAGGTCCCCAAAATTGCACGTGTAGTACACCGAAGACACCCAACTCCTCGAATGGCCAGATATCGCGTTTAGAGAGAACACTCGTCACTCCAATTGGCACTCGAGCATCCACGTGCATAGTAGCGCCTTAACCGCCTTGGATCGTTCCAGCAACAAAATAACAACTAGAGGATGAAAGAAAGGGGATTCACTTTCCCACGCAGAGATGCCAACGATGCATGCAAAAACAGAAAGAAGGAACAACAAATATAAAAAAAACAAGGGAATAGGGGGATTTTTCTCGGGGGAAAATCAGTGGGTATAAGGGTTCTTATTCTCTCAAATATGGAGGGGGTAGAAAGCAGGGGTTCCCCATTCCCATTTTTTGGTACACAAGCAATGTAATCAAGGGATATTTTCCCCACAACGTTTTTCTAAGATGCAATACAAAAGAAGCCATTTTTTGGGTATTTCTCATTTTCTTTGCATTTTTAGTGTTTTTGTGTGTATAGAAATGAAATACAAATTATAAAATAAAATAGAGGTTAAAAGTTTACCAAGATAGTTTGAGCCACCAGAGTCCAAGGCTGAAGCATAGGGGATCCTTCGGGAAACTTGCATGATAATATTAGGGTTCATTTTTCATTTGTGAAGATGGAGGGTTTAATCGGTTTTACCTGAGTGTGAGGGCTTCGCTGTTTGAAGCCTGTCACCGAATAGGAAAGGAGAAAGGCTTGGACATGTCTTAAGTGATTGTGATTAAGTTTTAGTTATTTTGGGGTTTGATTTGAGATTAAGACGGACATAGATGGCTTTTAGGCGTAGACGACTCATCTTTGGTTGGCTTGATTCCTGCAAGCTCACAACTTGAATCAGGTACAAGTGTGGCTTTCGAACAACTCTGAGTATCACCTTGCTCACTAGCAAGCATCACCCCTGGTGTAAGTCCTACGATGAAAGTCTTGAACCCACCGCCATCACTCATTGCTCCCTTGCACATGAATAGCTTACTCTTGAGCTCATCCATCTCTTCCCTCAAGGCCATCACCTCGACCTTGAGTGCATTACTCATCTCTACCAACTTCCAATCGTGGAGACTTTGTTGTGCCACGTCCTTGAACTCATCCCTCATTGACTCTAACTATTCAAGACGAGACTTTATAAGTCTCTGGACCTCCTTGGCTTCCTCATTGAAGCTCTCAAGGTTCTTGATCCTCATCTCCAACGATCTTGAGATAACACCCATGCTTTGTTTCCCTAGCTCAATCCCAAAACCATGGCTCTCCATGCCATTCTCTGTGGGAACAACTCCTACTTGTTGTGTCATCTCGCTCCCTTTCCACAAACTTGTCTGGAACACTCGTTGAATCCACAACGACTTTCTTTAGCTCACTATGATGCTTTTTGTTACAAAACAAGCTTGAATCACTGTTGAATCCACATCACCTATACCAACAGTCTATATCAAAGAACATTGACGGCTTATATTGAATCCTACCTTATCAAGAACTCTATCTGTAAGTCATTTGAATTCAAATAAAACATTATCCATAATTATGTATTTCCTTAATTATTGGATAATATTATCCTTTCTTGAATCTTACAAGGAACGGGTCAAGTCTGATGGTTCTTGGCAAGCCGAACACTTTGTATTATTATCCTATAGAAATATATGCACACATGTCTCGGTTCGAATCCATGAGCCTTAACAAAATTGCCCCTATCGAACATGTAACACCCGTTGTTGTCTTCATCTTTGTAAAGGTTACAGACTTGGTAAAATTGTCAAACATTCGTAACCTGGTTAATCAGGACATGTGATAGTGTATATAATTACCCTGTGGTAATTAACTACAAGGCACAGAAGATGCATCAGGATATAGCCCATTGCTAAAGGTGGAGAGCTCTGGTTGGTGAAGAAGGTTGTATCAAGACGCCATCAGTTGTAAGTATCACTTATTATGTTATATACAATAACAGAAAAAGTAGATGAAAAAGTGAATAACCTATTAATGGTATGTACAGTCATATGGTTATAAACATTTGGAATTTTCTTTTAGGGTGTTCAGCATCTGGTTCAGGCAATCTATAATGTTATTCATATTTTTTTGAAGGTAACAGTAGTGAAAAAAATGGGGTGATGCGATATAAACATTTAAAATTCCAATCAAAAAGAACAAAAGGAAAACAAAATGGACAATATCATGTTTAAGTAAATGCAGGAAAATCATATAATGGTGTAAAAAGAGAATATATATAAGTTGAAGCAAAGCAAAACTCCAATGGTTATATAAACAAGTAAAGAATGGATTACCAACCCATCCAAGTGTTTATTTTCACATTATTAAACATAGGATGTCAAAAACGAACTTGAATCAGTTGAGTTCGCATAGAGTGAAATCCAAGGTTGTTTTTGGAAACAACATATTTAATGACTTAAATCCAGTGCAGCGATTAACCCAAAAATAACAAAATACTTTTAATAATGTCAAAAATAATATTTAAGCATAATAACTAAATACATGTATTGAAAATAAACCTAAATATGGATGTTCAGTCATAATTATTTCCTACTGTAAATTCTTGAAAATCATTCAATCAAATAATGACTATTCCTCAACATTTGTAAAAGAGACTTAAAGATAAACATTTGAACTAATAATATAACGTTTGTATTGCATGTAAATGCTTCCAATTTGAAATGTTAGGCTGACATGAAACATTTATAATGATCAGTACATCATATAACATTTTACATAACCTGAGTAAATCAGTAAGAAGTTAATCTTTGTTTTATATTAACTCAGTATTAATAAAAGAAATAAATCGAATTTATTACCAAACATCAATCCAACTAACACTAAGCTCCCGTAGCAGAGCAATGGTATTCATTGGAGCCAAAAACAAAAACAATCTATTTGTTATTCTGAATTCAAGTTGCAGTGAGACGAGAACAAGGAGCAGTACACGTGTAATTGTACATTGGGATACTAAAATTTCTTTGAAGTTTTACCAACTACTAGAACAAGTTAAGTATGAATCTAGATTGGTCTGAATGAGGCTGTTGAATAGGCTGGTAGATTAGAGTTAATTGTTGGGCTAGTGTAGAAAAGCCAAGAAGTGACAGAAAAACTGAGTAGAATGAAAGGCTCAAATTCAAAATAGAAAAACCATGTTTCAGCAAATACAGAAAGAAATATAAATTTACCTTTTGAGAAGCAGAATCGGAAGTTTCAGGAAAAACTCCTAAAGCGAATAAAATCTACAGTTGTACTCCTGTAAGGTTGCATCAGAATCGGAGATTCTCGGAATACCTTCACTGCAAAGTTCAAACATTGATGTTACATAAGTGTAGAATAAGTCTAAATGTTCATATTTTTTAGTTTCCAAAACTTCACGTTGCAAAAAAACTTTTGTCCCATATAGGAAAGAGTGCACATATATTATTAACCAATCAACAGATCAAAAGGTTCCAATATTTGTCCAATCTAGAAAAGGAATTCCTTACAAAAACACAGACAGACAAGAAGAGTAAAAGCAAAATAAGTGATACTTCAGTTTATTGAAACACATGACTCTATGATTTAGGTGGGAACATCAGATGCCAAATTCTGCAGTATATACCTCGTAGGAAACTATATCTAGCAGAGATCGATTGGAGAAGGGATATTCGAAAAGGCCAGAAACAAATTTCACTCTCAATATTCGTTAAACAGCATCATCAATCCTGGACATTGGTACCTCCCCAGATTCAACCAGAAAAGTCGAATCTTCAATGAACTGTTTATATCTGTGAGATACCATCACCTGCCCATTTTCTCTGTCAAGGAACGAAGATATGAAGAGAATAAAGATTAATTGTAGTTGGGAAACATCATATACCATGTCAATTCCAGCATTAACAGCAGCAGAAATACAATAACGATAGTTTGAGCCTTGAGGTTCAGTGAGTTCATCGATTCCTTCCTAATCAGAAATCAGAAAACCCTGAACAAAACATTTCCCCAAAGTCACAGATGCTACATAAATCATTCGATTGAATGGCATATTATAATAGGCATTTAACGATAAACCGATAGACCCATGCCGGATGAGAAGAAAACATGGATCCAAACCTTAAAACCTAGTTTATCTTGTAGAATTTCCGTCAAGAGGGAATGGTCACCGTGAAGTTTACTTCCATTCCAACTGGAATACGATACCATAACAGTGGAAACCCCTGAGAAATACAGTCCAGATATGGACCCACATGGATGCTCTGTAAATCATCATATGATGATACGGTATTCCCCTCATTTACACCCTTTTCAGCGCCCCCATCTCCAACAAAATGATTGGCACATGCAATAATATTGTTTCTGGAATGAAGCAAGTAAACTGAATGAGAGATGTACCCTTAACGATGCATAGATGAACTACACCACAACTGAAAAATAATTTCTTGTAGTAGTATTTGCATTCAATAATTTTAGGCAATATCTCATAGGGACTAAGGTTATTTTGCATACTAATCACTCTGACATTAAATATTTAGTTAATAAAAAAGATGTAAAGCCTAGGTTCATTAGATGGATATTATTACTAAAAGTGTTCGATTTTGAGGTAAGGGATAGAAAGGGTACAGAAAACCAAATAGCAAATCACTTGTCTAGGCTAGAAAACAAAATCATTTGTAATGACATGAAGGACATTCCGGAGGATTTCCCTGACGAGAAAAGTTTATTTATCATGGATGTGTTATGGTATGCTGACATAGTTAACTTTATTGTTATTGGCATTATGCCTCCAGATTTATCTAGTCAGGGAAAAAAATTCAGACATGATGTGCGACACTATTACTACGATGAATCATTCTTATTCAAACAATGTGGCGACCAAATAATAAGGAGATGTGTCCCAGAAGAAGAAAACAAATAAATTCAACTTCATTGCCATTCATCCCCATACGGAGGACATTTCGGTGGAACGAGGACTACAATAAAGGTTCTTCAATCCGGTTTCTATTGGCCCACCTTGTTCAAAGATGCACAAGAATTCTAGAAGTCATGCAATAGATACCAGCGCACCGGGAACATATCGAAGTGACATGAAATTCCATGGCAAAACATTTTGGAGGTCGAACTCTTCGATGTGTGGGGGATCGACTTTATGGGACCCTTACCCTCATCTTTTGGTGACCTATACATTCTCTTAGCAGTTGACTGCGTGTCCAAGTGGGTAGAAGCCATCACAACACCTAAGAATGACTTTAAGACCGTGCTGAATTTCTTGCACAAGAACATATTTACGCGCTTTGGAACACTACAAGCTATTATCAGTGATAAAGGCACACACTTTAACAATAAATTAATTGTAAAGGTGCTGAAAAAGATACGGTGTGCGTTATCGAATTGCCATGGCATATCATCCCTAGGCCAATGGAAAGGTAGAAGTCTTTAACCGGGAAATCAAACAGATCCTCAAAAAGGTGGTTAACCTAAATCGCTGCCAAAGTTGGATGAAGTGCTATGGGCTTATCGCACAACATTCAAGACACCACTAGGAATGTACCTATTCAGATTAGTCTATGGCAAGGAGTACCATTTGCCTGTGGAACTTGAACATAAAGCATATTGGGCCATCAAGAAATTGAACATGGATGCCTAACTTGCTGGAGAAAGCAGAGTACTGGAATTGAACGAAATGGATAAGTTTAGAGCTCAGGCTTAGGAAAATGCCATCCTATACCAAGAAAAAAATGAAACAATGGCATGATAGAAAAAATTTTCCAAGGCAATTTTATACTAGAAAACAAGTGTTGCTTTACAATTCACGACTCAAGCTGTCTCCAGGCAAGCTAAAATCTAGATGGTCAGGACCATTCATCGTACATTATGTCCATAGAAACAGAGCATAGAAATCAAGAACCTAATGATGAATCCACCTTTAAAGTGAATGGTCAAAGACCGAAGGAATACAAAGGAGCACCAGTCTTGCGCGATAAACCGACATCAATGACTCACGATGGCCAAGAGTTTGCTTTTCTTTCCTTAACAACTTTTGTTGCCTAGGCAACCAAAAATTTGAATTATGTACATAAATAAATTAAGTTATTTTATTATGCACATTGTTTAAATTTTTAAGATACTTTTGTTTATTTTAGTCATATAAGGTACACGTGGTAGTACAGGTTTGAAGCTCATACATGGAAGGATGAGAAACCCTAAGCTAATTAGTTTTAGTGGAAATTGAGAAGAGGGAAAGATATATTTCTTTACTTTACATCAAATCAAAAAATCTTCTCATTAATATCATATTTTTCCCATTTCCATATTTATCATTTTACCCCAAAAAAATTACCCATTACTTTCCTAAAAAAAATCGATCCCTCATTCCACCTCACAATTTCCTTTTTTTTTCTTTTTCTTCAACTTGTTCTCTTCATTCCTCCCTCCAAACTGCAGCCATGATACACCCTGTACCAGCAAGAAAACCATGGCCTGATCCAAGAAAAATCCAGTTACGTCCTCAGGATTTGAGGTGTAACACCCATCTCCCGTATACCCTTCCATACACGAGATACAAATGTCAAATCACTATAAAATTATTTTGGCATTTGAAAAAAACTGTAGAATTTTGTTTCAATTTTTTTACAACTTCAAAGTATGATATTCATATAAATAAAATAGTAAAACTATCAATTTAAAAACATTATAAAATATTTATTATAGTTCCATTACATGCCAACTAAGTTTTCGAAAATAATAAGATTGTCCTAACGTTACTGATGGGTCAACCTTAATTGATGATCGCTACTGCTACTTCTGCACTCCTTACGCAACTAATCTTTTAATTTTCCTACGCATGAAATCAACACACGGTAAGTATTTACTTAGTGAGACATAATACTGCAAAGATATCAAACTTTATACATAAATATCTTATGAATACTGAATGACGGTTTAAATTGAAAAAATCCATAAGGACCAGATAAGCCCTTATCCGTTACATCATAATTCTTTCAATAAGTCAGCTAAATTATTCTTACTAGGCTCAGTCTATCTATCCTTCTATATAATTTTCCCCAATCATTCTTTATTTGCATGGTGTGCTTCAAATTAGAACGTACTATACATGTATTGCCCCAAAGTGCCAATTGATCATGTATCTTTTATAAACATTATGGGTGTCATCTTAACTACTGTTAACCCACCATTTTGTATTTTCATTTGAGCATCCTTTCATACCCATTATGTACTATTTATGTTTCTCCTTTATGACATCCATTTATACCAATTATGCCTTGTTGTAAATTTTATATCTATATGACATCCTTTCATACCACTTATGCACAGTTTCTATCCAAATGCATTAAATTCCTTTAGATTTTTACCCAAAGGCATTTAACCTTTCATCTAACTTGCATGATTAACACTTGTCTGCCAAATGTATAGCTAGGCCATGTATCTTTTACTCATAGTCTTTAACCGTTCATCTAACTGGCATAATTGACACCTTTCTGCCAAATGAACAGCTAGACCATTTATCTTTTACTCAACGGTCTTTAACCGTTCATCTAACTGGCATAATTGACACATTTCTATCAAATGCACAGTTAGGCCTCAAAGGCACTTAGCCTTTCATCTAATTGACATAATTGACACCTTTCTGTCAAATTCATAGTTAGGCCTCAAAGGAACTTAGCCTTTCATCTAACTGGCATAATTGACACCTTTCTGTCAAATGCACAGTTAGGCCTCAAAGGCACTTAGCCTTTCATCTAACTGGCATAATTGACACCTTTCTGTCAAATGCATAGTTAGGCCATTTAATCTTTTATTTTAGACCAGTTTCTACTATAATAATTATTCATAATATTAATTAACTCTTTCCAACAATATACATTTTATGGTTTATAACAATAGTGCGTATACTATAATCTCAAAATCTTATTATAATTTATGTGGATTACTCACCCATTACCAATACTACAATTCACCTTCTTATATTGAACTTCTGATAATTTCACATATATTTCCTATATAGAAATTACTACACTTAGTGTGGATTTCTTAGTTTACACACATAGTGCCCATACGAAAATTCATACACTTAGTATGAATTTCTTAGGTTTTTGCACACTTAGTTCCATTTGATAATCATCATACTTACATTAATAAATCATACAACTATGACTATCATAACATATACGTACATAATTAAATGCACTTGGATTGCCTCGCTATTATATCCAAAATGCAAAGTTGAGCACTCCGGTACTTTATCTTTGTCTTTAGTTTTGCTTGACTCGGGAGCTTGATTTTGATCTATTCAAGCATCCAATTAACGACACGTACAAAATCAATTGTTAGTATATTTCCTAACAATTATACTCAAACGTTATTTAAGAGTATATATTATTAACCTTCTATAACAATTTCAACTTAATTGGCCGTTCCAAGCTTAATAGTATCGATATTACTACCTTAGTATTGATACTTCTATACTATCGTATGATACCCCATTCCGTGTATCGAAACCAATTTTAGATTCGATGTTGCCTGGCATCGATACCCTTACCATGGTATCGATACTACCTCGTCGGTATCGATACTGATTGAATCAATATTGATACTACTCAGCTACTTCATCCTATTTTAGCGTATAATATCGGTACTGTTCTATCAGTACCGGTACCATTGCTCATATTTTCCAATTTTTAACTCAATTATTACATAAATGGGGTCAAATTTTGTTATATTTACACCATACAATACTATCAAACTCTTCTTTAACTATCAATACTAATATTCCTTCATTTTAATACTTAAAACATCTAGTACCCCTCAACATTATTGGATTCTAAGAATCACACCAAAATTTCTAACTTGTTTTTAAACTCATCCAATGCTTCTAATCTCTTATTAACTACTTTGACAAGTCAATTCTACCAATAAACATCAATAAACACTCATATATCAACTTATCATTTAAAAACTAATTTTCTTAAATCTCTAATATTTCCTCCATTTCATAGTTTTAATCTCATATAACTTTTCGTTAAGCTTACCTATTACTTAAGGTTACAAGGACCAACCAAAATCAACCGAGAACATGAGCTGGATGAAGCTTACCTTAAGCTATTGAGGATCACTCTCACCCACGGGAAGAAGAAGAAGAAGAGAAATAAGTATTTTACTTTAGTCTTTTTCTTAAATCCCTAATTTAAATGGTTTTTAAATTCATTTCACCTAAAAGACCAAAATGCACTTTCAATAAACTATCTCTTACAAATTAGTCTTACTTAAGTCATTTCTTATACTTTACAAATTACTCAATTTAGTTCTCCAAATTTTTAATTCCTTTCAAATTAATC